ACCTACATGCTTCTCCGTGAAGGACGTACTTTGGGAACCTTGGCACATCATTGTAACTTCAGAAGTTTTCTGCAAATCAAGGTATGCATGTTTTTTGGGAGGGAGAAGGAGAGAAGGTATGAATGGAAAGAGGCCACTTGAGGTATCTATTATGCAAAAAAGGGAGATTTTGGTCTTCCTTCCCATGAATAACTGCTCAAAGTTAACTCCAAAGGACAAAGTAAGAAGTTTCAATAGAAAAAAGAGAAGAATGTGCATAGGGTAAAGGACCAAGGTTCTCTAAAGGCTACCCAGTGGAGGTAGGGACATTGTTCTAGTCTTAATTCAATTCCATTTAGCTCAATAAAGATTAATTGAATGCCAGAATTATGCTAGATGTTGCAAAGAGTACAATAGAAATGAGACAATTCCTGCCCCCAAAAAAGATTATCTGACTAGAGAGTTGAGTATTACCAGCACAAGACATTTAGAGGATGATAAAATATAGTATATAACAGGCAAAGTGCTAAACAGAGTAGAATCACACAACTTAGATGTATAGGATTGACACTAAGTCTTTGGGTCTTCTGGAAGGGGGGTAAGTAGTGATGGCTAGAGTTTTGAAGGAAGACTATATGAAGGTAAAATTTAAGATGAACTCTGTAGAACTTCACAGATTTGGAAAGACAGAGGGGAGAAGTAAGGGCATAAGAGATAGGAAAATAACAGAAAGTAATATGGTAGATAGTAACCAGGTTCCCTGAGCATGTTGGTGTGGGAAGAGAAGGGAGGAACCACAATGAGGACTTTGTTAAAACACAGAAGTACAGTTGAAAAAAAAGAAAAGAAAGTATACTGTGGTGTTGAGATGAGCAGAAAAACACAGAAATACCAAATGAATTGTTTCCATCAGGAGAACCAGAAAGAGAATCCTGAAAGCATGCTCAAGATAAGAGTTTCTCCTTCTGACAAAGAGGAGCAAAATGTTCTAAGAAGGTCCCATCCTGTCTCTTTTGTCAGTTGAAAGAGAAATAATCATCAATTCAAGCACAGTGGCCACGGTGGGGAGTAGCAGATCGGGATTCATTTGCAGGAATTTCTGCCCATCAGAACCTGGCAAAAATGTTTGTCTCCTTCAAATTGTCAGCATAGATTCAAGAGACTTTGAGTGCTTTCAGGCTGCCAGACACTAGCTAGGCTGGGCTACTGTGCACATTTCTATAGGATGTCAAAGCTCATACAATCCAAGGGGAAGGCAGTGAAACTCTTCTGTTATTTTTCAAAGACCCAAGAAAAGACACCCCTTGGCAAAGAGAAAACATCAATGATCACTTTTATGATCCCTCCTTGTTATTTAAGAGCGTGTCCACCAAATGCAATGCCCTATAAACAGCTGGAAGGACAGTCCCCAAACTCAAGTACTTGCTAATCCTTTGATCCTTCCAGTTGAAAAGTCAGACAAAAGAGGGAACTTGGTAAAGTTCCAAAAAGAGCAACAAAAATGGTAGCACTTTTAAAAATAGTCATTTTGAGTAGAAATTAAAATATATTGGGAATTTTTTTTTACAATGCCACTCCAAAAGCTCAGTCTCTTTGACTGTGCTCTGCTTATTTTTTTAAATTATCTTTGTTTTTACATCAGTCGTATGTCCCATTATATTCCTCTCCTTTTTGCTACTAGTCACTTAAAACAATAAATAAAAAAGAAAACAAAACAAAAAGTTCAGCAAAGTCAACCAACATATACATCAAGTCCCACTTGACATACATTGTTCCATATCCATAGTCTCTCAATTCTTTAAAAAAAGAAAGGAGATTGTATGATTCATGTGATAAATTTAACGGCAATGAAAAATTCTTTTTCTATTTTCCCCAGGTTTGAATGGAGTTAGACTTTATTAGCAACTAGAGATATCAATTCAGAAGAGGAGAAAATTCTGGCCATCAATCCTTCTCACATGGTCCTACCTTGTACAAGTAAAAAGAAAGGGGTATAAATGGAGTACTTTGACTGACATAGAAAGTCATGGAATTATAGAGTTGGAAGAAACCTCAGAGATCATGTAGTCCAACTGCCCCACCTAACAGATGACAAACATCTGTTTGATGTGGTTCAAGGACTTGCCCTGTGTTAGATAATCACTGGGTGAAAGCCCAGTAGCAGAGTCATGACTGGAATTCTGTTGTTCATAAGAATGGACCCCAAAATCTGAAATAGTTTTAGAGAGAAATGTATTAGGCCGTTTGGCAGAGAAGAGAGAGCCAGAAAAGGAGTAGCTCTGTCTACCCAAATTCTGGAAGATTTACATTATATAGGATTTTAGCAAAGGTTTCCCCCACAGAAACTCCATGTACCATAGTTACACACTTAAGCAATTTTGCCAAGAGGGCAGCCTAAAAGCAAGGTAGATTAAGATAGATATGAGTAACACAAAATAGAAGTTTGAGGTGAACTTCTCAAGAGTTCCTGGGTATAGTAACCCAAAAGAAGAATGCTTTGGATGGATCTGGGGCCTGGGGGAATTGGAAATACCTTCAGCCATCTCTGGCACTCATTCCTAGAGAGTTACTGGTGTCAAGCTACATTTTGGCTATGGATAACCTTTAATCACATGAGGTTGGATTTAAACAGTATAATAAATTTTCCCAAACAATATAATAAATTTCAACATTCATTACCTTTAAGGTTACCCTTGGAGGTTCAACCAGGTCAATTTTGGAAATTAAATTCTACAAGTCTATACACCCAAAGTATTTTCTTCCCATAAAAATTTAAAAAAAAAACATGGAGAAGAATTTGTGCCTATGGTTGATTTAGGTTTTTCTCAACTACTGATTAGAGCAAAGAAAAAAATATGTCAGAAAAGTTTAAAGTTAATCCTAAGGTTAAAAATGAAAAAAAGCAAAGATTATTGTTTTCACTAATAGACATGAGACTATCATAAGCACACAATCTACCTATACCATCTTTCATGTTAGACTTGTATTTAATCTAAAAACATCTGGCTCAGTGGGAAATCTATTTGATGCCCATGAAGCAAATCATCTGAGACACTACACTGCCTCTACTCCTGGTATAAATTATTCCCAGTACTTTGTGCCTGATGCTGTAACAGAATTCATTAGTAAGCTCAATTGATTAGGAGAAAAATGAGTGTCTGGTATTAACAAGAGTCTGTGACAAAAAGAAGAGAGTTGCTTTGTGACCTCAGAAGATTGACTATGAAATGGGTAACTGCTCTGTTTTGTGTATTTGGAGATGCTACACTACCCTCTCCTGTCTCTTTCAAGTATGACCAATAACTTTGCAAACTCTAGGCCTAACTCAGTGCAGATACTCTAACTAAGCAATCCTGTATCAAATTCCATCAAAAGACATTGAAAATGACCCAAAATATGCCCACTGGAAAGATTTTAACCTATGGTTATTTACGATATGGTAGACTGAACCAAAAACTTAACTTATGTTGTATCTTTAATAATACATTGCACTTGGTCAAAAAGTCCTTCCTTTGAAATTTACAGAAGAAAAAGAAAAGTGGGAAATATTCAGCAGTCTAACCAAAGTAGAGATCTCACTTCATTGAGTCGACACCATAGAATGCCCTTTCTAACTAATTCCCCTCTTTCCCTTCCATAAACTTACTGGATCATAATCTTTTCTCTCTATCTTCTTTGTATCTACTCACTCTCTCCCATTCATTGAACCCTCATCTTCTCTAACTTAATAACTTTCACAGTTTCTCCTCCAACCACCAAAATGATCACTGGTCCTCTCAGTGACAATATATACAGTGCCTACCACAGTACCATACACATAACACATGTTTGTTGAATGAATCACATTTGTTTTCATATAATTTATTAGAGCAACAAAATAGCTCTGTTAATATTTCTTGCTTCCATAGCAAAGATGTGCTGAATTTCTCTGGTACTTTTCCCTTGGTTTTTTTAATCTGTTTCTTACATTTTTATATGTTTTAATCAATGAATATTCTTGTTTTCTTTGATTAGATAATCCATTTATGGATGGTGACATGAGCAATAGTGTTTTTATGTCCACTGCCAGATACATACACACACACACACACACACACACACACACACACACATACCAGCTGCCAGGAATAACCTGAGGTTCTAGATATCTTCAATTCCAAAATTCCTCAGCCACTATAAACAAGCAAAGCCTTCACTTGTCTGAAATGATCAGCTTGAAATTGATGAAATCTGGGAGGGAAATGGCATAAAATTGGCAAACCCACCTGGAGAAAATTGTTTCAAGGGTGTGAAATATTCCTTTAGTGGCCCCTATCCACAATATTGATAAGTTTTGTTTTGTTTTGTTTTTCAGTTTGGAGACTTTTTTTGGTTTTTCTTTTGTAATATTTATTTGCAAAGTGCTATACAATTATTTTTTTAAAAGTTGCTTGTTAAGTAGCACCATGATCTCAGAAGAATTAAAATAATAGATAATGCCAATGATATTTTGTGCTATAGGTATAAGAAGGCTGACACTTGTTATCAACAACTTGCATATCAGAAGTGATGGGACAGATATTATTGAGGATGCTGATTAGAAAAGCAGGTGCACTAATTATGTTCTATCAATAGGATATGTGGACAGCCTAAATGTGGTATTATTAAACCATGAAGAGCTAAAGAGAGAAATGAAAAGAGATCTCCAAGATGTTATGTATCTATTCTTTATGAAGGATTCATATAAATACATAAGTATAAATATATTTATAAATACATCTCTATTGTCTATTGTGTCTAAAAATATGTAGATAAGAATCATAAAAATAAGAAGGTTTAAAGGAGGAGTTTTTATCTGCATGAGGTTGTCATCTGACAACAGTATCTACAGACAATCTCACTATTGTTTGGGACTCCTCTAGCTCTTCTTTTACTAAGAAAATTCCTAAAACTTCTCTCTAAATTATCTGGATTCTCATATATCCAGATCTTAAATAACTCCAATAAACCCAGAAGGCTATACTGGAATCATCAGAATCTACCTTGTGGCTTGGGTTTGGTAACTTTCCCACATGGCTTGGAGATGGTGACTGTCTTCTGACACTCAGCATTATGAAGAGCTCTCTTCAGGTTTCCTGTTCTTGTCTTCAAGGCAGTGTTTGCATCACACTCTCCCCAGGCCTGAAACTGGTATTTACACTCTGCTAAAAACAAAAAAGGGACCAAAAAGACATTTCAGAATGAGCTCACTACTGCAGAGTGAAAATAAAGAAATATTTCAGATTTCCAACAGATAGGTCTTTAGGTCCCATCCTAAGGAATTTAAGTACAAAAATGTCTCATCGTTCTCTACTAAGTATACGTGCCCCTTGTGCTCAGTGCCAATAAATCACACATTTTGTACAGTATTTTCATCCATAAAAGGTAACTATATACAGGGCTCATTCTGAAGTGATGAGATATGATACATATTATAGAAAGGCCCAGAGAGAAAAATTGTTTAATTTTGTGCCCCTGGCTAGGAAGGACTCAAGATTTTGGAGGTAGAGGGAGCTGTTCACTAGGAGTTCAACATTAAACTTAGGAGTATAAAGATTGGGAAATTCATCCTAAGAAAGAAGGGAAGAGACACCAATGGATAATGCACCCTTTGATTGCAAAGATTCCACTTCTGTCATATGCCCCTAAGCAATACAAAGACCAGAAAGCCCCAAATATACCATAATTTTTGTTGCTTTGGATTTTTTTTATTGTTTTATTTGTTGTTTTTGTTGTTGCAAAGAACTGAAAACAAAGTAAATGCCCATTGATTGGGCAAAGGCTAAAAAAAAATTATTACATGTTTGTAAGGATTATTGCCTTGCCATAAGATATGAAAAAGATAAAGAATTCAGAAAAAAACATAAGACATGAAATGATATGCAGTGAAGTAACCAATATATATAATTACTATAATGACAAAAAAATGAAAAAAATGAAAATGAACATTATATAGTCATAATGTCCCTGGAGAAAAAATGAAAATAAAAGTACTTACTCTTCCTTTCATGGAAGAGGTGAGAGATTATGAGTATAAAATGTTGCAAACACCAGATAAAATCAGTGTGTTAGTTGGTTTTGCTAAACTCTTTTTTTATCTTTTCTAAATTATTGTTATAAGGGAAGGAGAAAGAGAAGTATGTTCAGAAATTATTGTGATGTAAAAACAAAATGTATCCCAAAATTAGATTAATATAATGAATCACTGTACCATTAAAGAATCTCTATCAAAAATTTAAGGAAATGAGTGGGGAAAATACTCTAATTTAAGAAAAATAGAAAATGAAAAGATGATACTTATATTTACCTCCAAATTGTTTCTTCCAGTTGCATGGGATCTTACATCTTTGGGTCTTCATGGTTTGTTTGCACTCTGCACCAGTCCGGGTGCCCTCCCGGGTACCCAGCCCACAATCCCCACTGGTCGGGACGCACACACTCCACTGCCATTCCCCACAGTCTGATTTCTTCACCTTTTTTTCTAAAAGAATTGGAAAGGGAATAAACAGCACTCAAGCAAGCTTCTTTAAGCACACAACCTTCTCAAGTACCCTCCTGACCTTCTGGAATGTGCCATAAAAAAAGTGTGTTGGGTGGGAAGTGGCCAATATGTAGAATTAACGATCCAAAGCAGTAAACACTTAATAAGAAAGCAATACCTGCAATCAGATTAACTGTCACAATCAAGTTACTTCCCTTTTGCTAGGATTCAGTTCTATCTTTAGAATAGCACGATTTACCAGAAAGAGTATTTGCTCTGGAGTCAAAGAACCTGAATTCAAATCCTGTCTATACGACTTTATAAGTCATATCACCATTCTGGGCCTCATTTGCTTCATGTGTAAAAAGGGTAAGTTGGTCTAGAAGACTTCTACAATCCCTCCAGTTCTAAATCTTTGCTCCTCCTTGATGTAGGATTATACTGAAAAGGACTGCTGTTGCCCACCCTTTTGTGACCTTTGGGAATAAGGAGTGTTGCTAGCTAACACACTTTCCCTTAGATCCAAGAGGATTTTTTACTTGCCTGGTTTCTCTTTCTTGCCAGCTTCAGCAATGTCCACAGCTGCCAAAATGAAAATGAAGGCCAGGAAGGCAGCTGCAAATTTTCGACGCTGCTGTTGCTGCTGTTGTGGCTGCATTCTGGGGGTTAACAGAGAAGAAAGCGGTGTCAAGTTAAATCAGGCAGGGGAGCTGATTGAACTCCATGATGAAAGAATTTCACTCTCCATTTCTGGAAGATTGGATCCCAGCAAGATTGGTATTAATTATATTTGTCCAATTTTCATCTTTTTCTCTATGAGAGCTACTAAACCAAAAGCTCTTCTGCAATTAGCTAAGTATTCTCTCGTAGAATGCAATACACTCCCTACACATGACTTTATAGACAATCATTTGTTAAATAGCATTCAGAGACTATAGAGGTGCTAATGGGAGAGGCTTTCCTCCCTGTAAGTTAGTTGCTAGCTCATTGGCATAGAAATTAATTCAATTTAATAAGCATTGTTTCAGTGATTGTATTTGCAAGGTGACGTACCAGACACTAGAAATACAGAGAAAAAAAATGAAATACTCCCTGCCCTTAAGGAGCTTCCATTCTACTAGGAGAAACATGGAAATCTCAATGACATCCACTCTGGCTGCCATCTTTGTAAAGTCATGGCTCCTTCTGTAAACTAACTCAGACAATAGTATGACCAGGAGGAGCCCTTTCTCAATCCAAATAGGGTCAATACAGTGCATTGAATTACGAATCAAAGGAACTAAGTTCAAATCCTGGTTCTGCCATTTACCACCTGCATGACCTTGGACAAACTATTTAATATTTCTGGGTCTTGGCTGTCAAATGAGATAGTTGGACAAAATGATTTTTATGGTGCCTTCCAGTTCTACAGATCCAAGCTAATCATGGCACTTCTGTTGTTTGAGTAGTAATTCACATGTGTCTTTAAAAAATAAAATATATAGCTCATTTGAGGATATCATGTTTATTTTGCATCTGGAGACATAACTTTAGTCTCTAGAATCTAGAGTATCATCAATATTTCCTGATGAATCAAAGAGTGGAAGAAAGAAGGCAAGAGGTGAGAAACAGCTAACAGTTCTATAGTGCTTTAAGATTTGTAAGCATCTCCTAGGTTATCTCACTGGATTCTCACAACAGCTCTGTGAGCGTGGTACAATCATTATCAATGAGGAAACAGATGCTAAGAAAGTTAGATAACCTGTCCATTGTTAGACAGCTAGTACAATGCCTAAGGCAGGATTTGAACCCTTCCTCGCTCATTGTACCACTTAGCTACCATAAGTACATTTGATCCCACTTGTGGAAAGGAATTTAAGAGACTTAGGAGTCTATCCTTGGCATTAGTATTGACTACATTGGGAACCACAGACAAGTCACAACCTATCTGATCTGTTTTCCTACTGGTGAGATGGAACAATTGTTCATGTCTTCTCTGGTCCTCAGTTTCCTAAACTGTAAATAATAGCTGTCCTTAGAGGCCCCTTACAGCTCTGCATCTGTGATTCTGTGTTCTCCCCCACAATTTCACAGGAGATCTCATGAGGTAAAAGGGGTGAAATACCTTGAATCCTTTTGGAACAAGAAAACTACTATGTATATTTAAGTACTTTCTCTTACCTTTCCCAAAGAGAGAGGTAGAATTTGAATGTGTTCCATTTTAAAATGTTATCCAGAGCTTCATATGAAAAGCCCAGTTTACACTCATTTTTACTGCCTTTCTCCAATGTAGCAAAGACAAGCACACTGGAAGACCTGGCCGTACTAGAAGTCTTCTAAACTCCTTCAGTTCCACAGCAGATTTCTCACACATGTGAAAGAGTTCCAGATCTCAGTGAGCTGAAGTCCCAAAGTGTCTTCATTCAGAAGCCTCTCCTAAGGTCTGAGACCATTGGTGGCAGCTGAGGACTGCCATTTTACTGTTCCCCATATGCCTATGGGATCTGTTCAGTCAAAGCCAAATCCAATCCCTGCTAATCTGACCAGCTAATAAAAACTTTTGAATCAACTACAATTTATAAAATGAGGGAAATAAAAAGGAATTTATTCCAACCATCTTGAAGTTAGGTCAAATAACCGGATGTCTTAACAGACTTGATAAGTCCTAGACACATGGACAGTCACATGCTACTCTCCAGCTATTCTGTTTTTTTTTTAATATTCTATTTTCCCCTAATTACATGTAAAAATGATTTTTAACATTCTCTTTGTATATTTTGAGTTCCAAATTCTCTCCCTCACTACCCCCTCCCTGAGAAGGCAAGCACTTTGATATAGGTTATACATGTGCAGTCATGCAAAATAGATTTCCATATTAGTCATATTGTGAAAGAAAACACACACAAAAAAAACAAGAAAAATAAAGGTGTTTTGTTTTGTTTCATTTAAGTATGCTTCGATCTCCATTCAGATTCCATCAGCTCTTTTTCTGGAGGTGGATAACATTTTTTCATCATGAATCCTTCAGAATTGTCTTGGATCACTGTATTGCTGAGAATCAGCTATTCACTTTTTGACATTTTGAACATCTGACATCCGGCTTTGGAGATGCCTAATTATTCAAATACTCCCCACTCCTGCTCTAGATCACTCCTTGGTCTCATTCTGGTTCTTTAATCATAACACAATTTAGTCACCCAAGGCCAGGACTTTGTTTTGTAATCTTTTTTATTGCAATCTTGTAATCTTTAGAAATTAGAAAGGCATCTTAGCAGAGTAAATATAGGATTCCACTTTGACTGAGGAAGTCTTGATTTCAAAATACTACTTTTGACACATACCAGTTGTGTACCATTAAAGGCAACGGCAGCTAGGTGGCATAGTGAATGGAGTGCTGGGCTTGAAGTCCAGAAGATCCGAGTTTAAATCTTGCCTCAGACATCTACAAATTATGTGACCCTGGGTGTGTTACTCAGCCTAACCACAGTTTACTACCACATAAAATGGGGATAATAATAACACCCATCTTATGGTGTTGTGGTGAAGATCAAATGAGAAAATACAAATATTTTTATTATTATATTAATATAGTTATTATTATTATCACAAAGGAAGTTGCTATATTTCCACAGCTGAAGTTCCCAACAGCAATGAAATCACAGGTCCCCTCCAAAAAAATGACCTATTTAAGCATGCTCTCTTCTCTTCTCCCCATTATTAGGAAACAAGTATTTATTAAGAGTTTACTATGTGGCACACACTATACTAAGTGCTTTGTAAGTATAATCTCATTTGATATTCACAACAACCCTGTTAGGTCGGTGCTATTATTATCCCCATTTTACATCTGAGGATCCTAAAGTAGACTTGAGAGATAAGTGACTTGCCCAGGGTCACATATCTAGTGTCTAAGGCTGGATTTGAACTTAGGTCCTCCTGACTCCTGACCTATCCACTGCACCATCTAGTTGCTTTTGGAGCATTATAATGTGCCTTTTAAAGAAAACTGCCTGGAGTATGAGGTACACAATTTGTGGCCTCATGGTGAAGCCAAATGGCTTGCATCGGTACCTAATTCTTGGCCTCACTGTGCTCTGATGAGAGGCATTGTGGTAAGTGGAGGCAGCATGGCTTTGTTTAAAGCTCGATGAATTGGAATTTGGAGATCTGGAATCCGGAGACCCGACAATCAGTTGGTGCATATGTTACAGTGGGGATTTCTTTCATGGCTAGGTTAGGGGCCAGAGTAAGGAAGAGACAAGCAAGTCATATGGAAGAATACTCTTGCTTCTTGAATTGATTCAGGACATTTCAGAATCTGATAAAATGGTGAGCTTGTCTCGGGCTTCTTGACTAATAATACTTACATTGAAATAGGTATAAAGACCACAACCTCATGAAGTTAAGTGTTCTCTTAAGGGAAAGACATTATTATCTCCATTTTACAGAAGAAGACATTTATGCTTAGAGGGTTCAAGTAACAAAGAGGATCCAGTGGAAGAATTTGAACCCAGGTCTTCCTAAAGCCAAGTTTGGCAATCTGTTCACCACAGCAAGCTACCTTGAAAGCAGAGCCTATACTATATCCCTCTGCTTTTGTATCCCCAGTGCCTAGTCCAGCGCTCTGCGGAAAGAACAGACTTTTTAAAAAATTAAACTGAATTATAAATTGCTTTTCCGGAATAAGATACTATCCAGCTCCACCTAGTTACCCCACATCACCCCAGGGCTCTATTCAGTAGAGTGAGCAGTGAAAGTTTAAGAATCATAAAAGTTTTCGTATCCTGAACTATCTCACTCTTGGGATAAACCTGCCTTGTGATTTTATAGGCAAAGAAAATGAATCCTTTCAATGAAGCCTATTTGAAAGAAAGGAGTTTGGGGGTTTAGAGCAGAATGATTATTTTTTTTAATCTCTTAAAAATCAAGTGAGCCAAAACAATACCCAATTAACAGGCCCTAAGCCTCTGTGTTCTACTAAGTAAAGGAGTAATTAGTTTCGTTACAGATAAGACCTCCCCTTGCTTAGGATATTTGCATAGTTGATTGCGCGTTTGTCTCCTGAACCAAGGGAAGGCAAGAGCCTCACTGCATATGCCTTAACCCTTCCTGTTCCCCAAATGAAACGATACTAGAGGACACTTAATGCCCCAGGTATTAACCTTCAACCCAGCAGAAATATGTGAACAGCATAATTCAACTGGCATTCTTACTGTATACTTAACCTTGAGAAAGTCATAACTTTCAGGACCCTTTCACCACCTGGTTAGGCTGTCCTCTCTAGGTTATCATGGCATGGCTCTTTCTTTGTTCTCTTCTTAATTTTCTGTTCTCTTATTCTCAAAATGCCTCGGTCTTCTCTGGAGGATTATAATCCATGTTATGTCCATTATTCAGTAAATCAATCCCTTTACTCAGTAAATTCTAGTGAATCCCAATCATCTCTTCAACTGAACCCGGTTTAGCTTTTAAAGCTCCTCACAAATTGGGCCAGTCCTTCTTTGATAGATTCATTGTACCCGATTCCCTTCTACACACTCTATGATATAGTAACCGTGGCCTTCTTGCTGCTCCTCACACAAGACACTTCATCTCTCTTCTCCATACCTTTGCCTGGGCCATTGTCCTACATGCCTGGAATGCTCTCCATCCTCACTTTTCTAGTTTCCTTCCAGACTCA